TTTTTCTAGAGTCCCTTTGCTCTTGGAAAACTTTTCCCTTCCTCTCGCTGCCCCTGAAGGTTCTGGGCGGATGTTTTGTCCGTACTATTTGCTTTACTTTCGCTACAGCTCACTTCCTCCTCATTTCTTCAGCCCGTTTCTCTTTGCTCACAGCTGGTTTCTGTCACGTTTCATTCATGCTTTACTTCTCTTGTGGTTTTCTAACAATTGCTTAGGTGACTTAGAGACTCTTTTTTCTTTGTGTTTCACTGCCCGGTTCTTCCTTTAACTTTCCCCCACATGCCTCTGTCTTTCCTCTGTCTGCCTCCTCCTGTTCCTGCCATCTCTGTCCCTTCTCAATGGGACTTTCTCCCTGCCAGCTCTCTGCCTGCTGCCCTTCGATGACACAACTCGGCCACCAGGTCCCTTTCTACTGGCTCCCGCTCGCTGGGTCCCTGCATTTCTGGTGCATGTTCCTACCTCACTGGCTCCTGGTTTCTCTCTCCTGGCACTGGGCAGCGTCCCTCCAAATTCTTTCCACCGTTTCCACCGGGAGCGCTGGGGGCGGGGGAGGAGCTGCTGGCTGCTGTCCCCTGCTGTTTTCTTTCTCTCCCCACCACAAAAAAATACCACCCCAGGCTTGAGCTCCCCCCACTTCTGCTGCCCAGGAATCCTTGGGGTTCTCCCCGCAGCTGTGAGCAGCCACCTTGTTCAGCTCCCACAGCTCTTTAACTCAACAGCCCCCAGCCCCAGTGGGCATCACACAGCCAGCCCTGGAATGTAGGCACAGGCTGGGGGCTGGGCCGGCCAGGCAGCCCCTGGGCCCTGACTCCTCTGTGCATCCCCAGAGCCAGGGGAAGGAACGAGAGCATCACCCTGGGAAAGGCCCCTTGCTCTGCAGCTCCTCCTGGGGCAGGGATCCCCCCTCCCTCTCCCTTGAACCTTCAGCAGCTGCTGCTGCCCCTTGCTGGGGAACCCACCATTAATTCCGTCCCTGCCCCCCAGCTGGGCGTCCCCTCTGCTGGGCACAGAGCTCAGGGCAGAGCCTGGCTCTGAGTGCCCCATTGGTGCACAGACCCCCTGATCAGAGGCGTGCACAGGAATGAAAATGTGGCCGCTTTTGGAGGGGCAATTTGTGTGCCCCCCGCAGCCAGAGGAGCTGGCTCTGCTCCCTGGAGGAGTTCTGTGCTCCGACCCCACTGATTCAGGGGGCCCCTGTGCCTGCTTCCCCCCTTGCACATGCCCCTGCCCCTGAGGGTCCAACTGGGAGTGGGGATACTGAGCCGGGCCCCTCACCTGCTACCACCAGCTCCACAGGGTCACTGGGATGCGAAGAGGCAGACGCGTCCGTTTTGTTGCTGTATCGGCAGTGGTAGCTCCCTGCATCTCTGCGGCTCACATTGCGAATGGGAAACTCAGCCACGTTCCCAGCCAGCTCCACCTCCTGCAGCGCGGTCCGGTTTCCATCTTTGTACAGAAGGAACCTCATGTTCTGGTATGGAGCCTGACACCGGACGGTCACGGCTTCCCCCGGGGTCACCTCCCTGCTGGGGTGCAGGGAGATGGAGGGTTTGGAGTAGGTGGTCTCTGCAGTGAGAAGGAGACAGGCCGTGAGACAGTCCCCGGCACAGTCACTGTGCCCCGTCTTTTCTGCACATTCCCAGAGACGGGGCCCCCTGGGAGAAAACCCAGCCAAAGGAACCTCTCTGACATCCCAGAGATTCCTGGGAGCTACACCCGAATCTGCCTAAAATCCAAAGTGTCCCTCTGTACCCATCTAGCTACCTAATGGGCCCCCACAGGCTGGGAGCCAGGACTCCTGGGTTCTATCCCTGGCTCTAGGAGGGGAGTGGGGTCTAGTGGTTAGATCGGGAGGGGGCTGGGAGTCAGAGGTGCTGGGTGCTGCACAGACATGGGGAGAAAAATCCCCTGCCCTAAAGCCAAGTCCTGACTATCTAACCAGACACAAGGTGCAGGAGGGATGATTATCCCCCGTTCATACAAGGGGAAATGGAGGCACAGGGAAGTTAAGTGACACCCCATGGAGTTTACCGTCTGCCCAGAGACCCCCATGATGGTCAATCCAGAGTCACCCCTGACTGCACTGGGGGCAGGGCTGGGCTCTGATCTCAACCCACCAGTAGGGTGACCCTATTTCCCTATGCTGAATATGGGACACCTAGTAAGTTACTAATCTTCAAGCGAGTTCCACGGCAATCAAACAGAACTACGCAGTACAAACCTTCAAATTAACATCAAGTGACTGAGCCCCTGTTGAAAAGAAATACTGTGTAGCTGGATTCTTTTTATTTACCTTCTTATCTTTAAGGCTTTAGGGTTCACATGGGGAGGGGTGACACACACACACCCCTAACCCCCCCCTCACCGGGAGAGGTTACACACACACACACACACACACTCTAGTACCGCTCTCTCACATGGGGGGGAGTGACTGACTGACCCGAACCTCCCTGCTCAGCGCTCTCCACCCTCCATGCCTGGCTGGGCCCCCAGGGATGGACCCAACTCTCCTGGTACCTGACGCTGTGTCTTCCTGAGGCAACATGTGTGTGGCAGGGAAACTCAGGGTCACATGCCCCGGCCTCCAGATTTCTGCCAGGGTTCACACCAGAATGTGGCCAGCAGCAGCCTTTCCGCACTGTGTGGGAGGAAAAGGACGGGAGCTGCTTCCAGCCACCAGGAAGGAGGAGGGGGTGTGACGGTGCTGCCTGTGGGAGCCAGCTGAGGTCACTTAATTAGGGTGAACGGCAAACAGAATGGGGCAGACAAACCCCAAACGCTGGTGGATCTACCAATACTTAGATTTACCAAGCCAGCACAAAACAGCTTTTATAGTACCTCACTGGTTACTCAGAAATACAAACAACGCAGTTTTCTTAAAGTGCCCAGCCTCAGGCCTCCGTCCAGACCTACATGTTAGATATGTGATGATTACTGAAAATCTTATTTTATCGTGTAAAAGAAAAGGTTTTTTTAATTCCAAAGGATTAGCCACATACCCAGGTCCAGTTATGATTTAGATTTTACCCAAAATACACGCTATCGTTCATTTTTATTAACTAAACAAAAATGTACTATAAAAGAAAAGAGAGAGTGTTGGTTAAAAGATTAATATACAGACAGACTTCAGTTCAATTCTTGAGGTTTAGACACATAGCAGAGATGAGTTTGTAGTTGCCAAAAGTCCTTTTAGAGATATAGTCCAGAGGTTATAGTCCAACGTCCATATTCAGGGTGACTCCAGTCAGTGACTGGAGATCTCAATCTTTGTGGCTTAAGGTTTCCCCCTCTTGAAACCCAAAGCGGATCTAAGATGAAGAAGGATCATGTCCCGGGTTTTTATACATTTCCAGCAGCGTTTCATCCTGAGAAAACAATAGGCTTAACTTTCCTTCTCCCAAACATCATGGCAATTAGCAAAGGGTAATTTATTCATTAAACAGTTTAGATACAGGTTACCACAACCTTCAAAGAGACATAGACAATAATACTATTTCACTCAAGTATCATTCTAAACGTTAATATTCCTTTTTTGATCTTTGAATTAAAGCTATAGCAATAGACAAGACTCATTTGCTTACATTACAAGACCTGAGCAAACACCTCCCCTTCTACCTTTAACAATGCAGACTTGCATTTCAAAGCTTTATTTATTTGCATATTTTCCTAACCAGTTTCTAAAGTTCGGCCATGGGTCAGGTCAGTCTGAGTTAATTAACTCTTTCTGGCCCTGTTACCTTTCAATGAAATATTATATTACTCTCATAACGTCACACCCTCAACGCAAAATGGATGCAGGAAGGGATGACACAAACATCGCTGACTGCATCCCAAGAGCTCCCCATCCTGGGTTCTGTCTCACTACAGCTTTTACTGGGTTAGAAGCCGTATCCGTGTATAACAGAAATGGTTTACCCGACGCATGTTCAATAACATGACTGAATCTTTTTACAAACTTCAGGTAAAACTTGGTTAGCACCATAGCGGTTTGGATCTGCTCTACAAGTTAATGTAGATATGAATGTTGTTCATAGTATAGAAAGCTTGGCATTTAGCCATGAAAGCAACATGGTAGTGTGCCTTCGTTTTTCTTTTTATATAGCACATTAGGTCTGGAACGTCTTTTCTCCTGTGAAAAGTTTGAAGACTGTTTACAGGCACTAACAGTGCAACATTAGCATTACAAGGCCTTTTAACAGAAGGCGTGTTTTTATGTATTACTTTTAACATGTTCAAGGGATTTTTCAAAAGATTAGGCACATCTTTACAAATCTTGGTATTAGCAAAACATTAGTTACAAAATTGACCATTAGCAATAACAACAAATCCATTGCAAGTGTTTATTTACAGGTTTCAGGGTAGTAGCCGTGTTAGTCTGTATCCGCAAAAAGAATAGGAGTATTGGTGGCACCACTCGATTACAGACCTAAAAGTCGCAATATTACAACAAAAAACCTTCAAAAAACAGACTCTGAGAGACTGCTGAATTGGAATTAATTTGCAAATTGGACACCATTAAATTAGGTTTGAATAAAGACGGGGAGTGGATGGGCCATTACACAAAGTAAAACTATTTCCCCATGTCGGGGACTTTTTAACCCAGACGGCAAGGTTCGTTGTCTGACCGCAGAGTGAGAGACAGGCAACACCAGCAAGATCCAGTACAAGCTCTTTATTGAAGAGTGCACACAACAATAGAGAGCGGCCCGTCTCCAGAGAGAACCAGCCACGATTACAACAACTAGTGAGATTATATAGACAGTTCCGTCGCGTCATAGTTAAGCAACTTAAAACCCCCAATGGGGGGGGGGAGAGCTCAGTGGTTTGAGCATTGGACTGCTAAACCCAGGGTTGTGAGTTCAATCTTTGAGGGGGCCATTTAGGGATCTGGGACAAAAATCTGTATGGGGGATTGGTCCTGCTTTGAGCAGGGGGTTGGACTAGATGACCTCCTGAGGTCCCTTCCAGCCCTGATATTCTATGATTCTATGAAACCCCCCTTTACTAGTTAAAAGCTTCTAATATTCATGCATATCTATGTTCTTTGACAGTACAAACAGTTCATGAT